GGGAGTGGATAGGGATGAAAAGGATTCAAAAAACTAGCCGTTTGGTAGTTGAAACTGTCGACTTATTCGAATAACTCAAGAACTATTCGAATAGTTTGGATCAATCGCGTGGCTTGAAAAAACCAGTTCCTATTCGAATAAATGGTGATTTGTTCGAATAAATCAGGTTGAAAAACCAAAACTTATTCGAATAAGTGGTGATTTATTCGAATAAATCAGGTTGATTTTAGCAACAGGAAAGATCACGACTTATTCGAATAAACTAAAGATTATTCGAATAGAAAGACAACTTCCCCACACAAAGGCTGATCTAAAATGAGTTTTAAAGGTAAGATGATAAGGGAATGAACCTTAGAGATGCCATACTCTTTAACACATAATCTAAGACCTAAAACACTACCCAACTAAGAAAACAACCTCTTCGGTCTCGTTCCTTCCACCGATGCTCAAGTCCCTTCTTCACGGACGGATATGAACTTGTTGTAGCTTTGATTCTTAGCCTTGATGCACAAAATGATGATGATGTTTTGTCACTCTTTTGTCATTATCAAAACCTAAAATACAATGGGCAAAGGACATTGCAAAAATATATATGCATGATAGCACATTGTCCAACAATTGCAACATTGCTTTTGTCTGGGGAAGGACAATACACTTGAGATTCTCAATCCTTCTTGCACAAACCAAGTGCTCAATGTGTGCCATCAAACAAGGAACTCTTAAAGAAGAACAAATCCAACAAGCAAGTCTAATCATATGGGATGTAGTATGTATAATGAAAATAATTGCTTTTGATGCATTGAATCGCACAATGAGAGATGTAATGAGTTTCTCAAATAAAAATTAAAGAAATGAACCATTCGGAGGGAAAAAAGTTGTACTGGAGGTGTTTTTTCGTAAAGTTCTTCCAGTTTTACCTAGAGTTTCAAGAGAATAAATTTTAGGTACTACGATAAATTCTTCAAATATATGGTCGTATTGTAAACTTTATGCGTTGAAGAAGAATATGTGATTGTATTCGTCGACGTCCTCTTGACCAGATAGATACACACAAGCCTTTTCTAATTGAATAATCAAAGTTGGAGATAGAAAGCTTGGACAAGTGATTGATGGAACAACTGACGTTACAATTCCATCCAAATTGATGATTCTAGACACAAGTTAACCCCTCAAGAGTATAGTAGATTTCACTTATCTGGACCTATTGGATACTATGAAAAGTTATTCTTTTTTCGAGAATAGGGCACTACTGGTAGCCATTCTTGAGGTTATAGAAATGGTAAATGAATGTCATATCTCTCATTCCCGAAGATAAAATGGTGTATTCGAGTTCTGATTATTCATGTCAGGCAGGTTCAGATGTAGGTGTTGGTGGCGATTAGATAACAGTTGAGTTTTTGAATAAACCAAATGTTCAAAGATCCCAAATCACAAAAATAATTTTTAAAAAGGAGGTACCAATTATTTTATTAGGGAACATTGACCAAACATCTGGATTATGTAATGGTATAAAATTAAATGTTGAAGAGCTGTGAAAGAGTGTTATCTGATGAATTTGGTACCATCTGATCTAATTACTCTTGAAGGTCTAAAGAACATCATTCCCAATAGTCTTATACTTTGCAATGACTATCAATAAAAGTCAAGATCAAACATTGTGATTTGTTGGATTATTTTAAACAATTCGTTTTTCATTGATGGTTAGCTCTATTTTGTTGTTTCAAGAGTCAAGACAAAGACTTGATTAAAAAATTGGTTCAAATGACAATTGAAACCACAGAAATCACCCTACATGGCACTCTAACTCACCCTAAACTACGCATCTAGCACTACTTATTTTTCTAAACAAATTTAGCACTTTTTTGTGTCAATCCTTTACTATCATGCCCTTTAACCTTTTTCCTTTTTCTCATTAAAAAATTACGCCACTCCTCTTGCCTAGCCGCACGTAGTATTACTCTCGCGCACGTACTCTCGCGCACGTACTCTTCATGGATCCTCAGGCCTTCTCCCACGATTTCTGCTCCGATCAACAGCGGCAATCATCAGGTTATCTTGAAATCAGTCATACATTTTTGGGCAGTGTGAAATTCATAAATGAAAACAATCATATACATTTTTGGCAGTGTGGAATTCATAAATGAAAATAGTGTGGAATTCATACATAAAAAGAGCTATATATTTTTTGGGCGGTGTGGAATTCATAGATGAAATTAGTCATACATTTTTTGACAGTGTAGAATTAATACGTGAAATCACTGCCACATAAATCAATGAACATTACACTACAACATGAAATTAAGGAACACAATAATACATTTACACATCGCCGTAAGATATAACAACATATATTCATTCTACACTGCCACATAAAAAACTCACATATAAAAAACTACACTGCCCACTACACAATTACGAGTGAACAACCACACTGCCCAAAATAATCATATTTTTTGGAAGTGAATAATGAACATATACTGTTTAATTAAAGGACAAAATCGGAATTACATGTATGAAACATATAGCACTGCTATTTAGAGTATTTTAATGTTCTTAGAGTGCTATTTTGGTTTTTCTCCCTTGAAACCATTGCAACCATAATAAAATTAATGTATACCCTAAAATTTATCAGAAGATTTGGTATTAAAAAAACTTTGTTGAGTACTCATTTAATTCCTCAAATACGGAGTATTATGTATTCTACTTGACATTTTTGTCTATAGTATGAAAAATTATGTCAGAATTATATATTTTTCTTTTGAAAAAAATATTACATCGAAAAACTTTCAGAATCGAATTACATCGAAAAACTATTAGAATACTAGTACCATAAACAATTGATGAACCCCATATACAAAAGCAAGCTAATTGAAGTTCATACACACTTTATATTTGAGAGTTCTTATTTCTAAATTATTATTTTTTGTGCCTCTACAGTTGGTGAATTAAAACCTATTAAGCCAATTACCATTTTTAACTTCTTCTCTCTATATCAATAGGATGTAATACACGGTGGAACGGACATTTACTTCTACTCACTCAAACCACTACCCTCTTTAAATAAAGTAAGAAATATAAATTTAGACACGAGAGTTCTTTCTCGGTCTAAGTCATTCTTGTTGTGCTCTAATTTTCTTTTCTTATATTATCAATAATCGGTTTAGACCCACATGTCAGCCCAAATCCGATTTAATTCACACTACCACCAACCAAAGGGTGGTTTCCCTCAGACGGAAAAAAAGGAAAATGTATTTCCTAAAGTGGAACATTAAATTCCCCAGTAGGACAATCGCACATAGTACATGCAAAACCAAAAAAAATATTTAAAAAAAAATCAGAACTGACGATTTGTCAGTAATGTTTGCAGTGAAACCGCGTGTACTACATGCGAGAAGCTTTTTTTCAGTTTGCATGTGCTACATGCGGAAATAATAATTCCACTTCCACCTTTTTCACTCCACCACGGCACCACTCAATAAAACCCACCTTTTCCACTTCTTTTCCACCCCACCTTTTCCACTCCACCACACATTACAACCACTCCCATCCCAACCATATAACTTCACCCACCTCTTCATCTTCTTAATTATCACTCACATTTTTCTTTATTTAAACCACTCCTTCACCCACAACTTTAATCACTCTTCAAATTTAACTTATTCTGACACTACTCCATTACATTCAATATTTCTCAGGTATTTTTTATTACTTATATTTCAGTTAACTTTAAAATATTAATGATATTGATTATAGATTTTTTTAGCACATATTTATCAACTATGTGCTCCATAATATTTTAATTTTTTTTATAAAAATGTAGGAAAATAGTTTTTTCGAAATTTAATCTATTCTCACACTACTACATAATATTCAACATTTCTCAATTATTTTTTTATTACGTATATTTCACTTAACTTTTAAATATTTTTTTATTTAATTTTTGTAGTGCAAAAATGGATGACATGGAAAGAGAAAGAGAGATGGAGAGAGAGATAGCGGGCCCTAGAATAGATGACATGTTACATTTGCAGAATACTCATCGTTCTAGTCGGGTGTGAAAATTTAATGATTTTTGCGACAATAAACTAGTTTCAGTTAGATATCATAGTTGCATCCCTACTATTTTTCATGACCCCAGGGTTCTCCAAAATTTACGGAGGGCTGGATTTTATGGGGTACACCTGTGCACCCGATTAGATCTGATCATGGTTTAATCACCGCTCTCATTGAGCGGTGGAGACTGGAGGTGCATGCTTTTCATTTCCCTTTTGGAGAGATGGGTATCACTTTACAGGATGTAGAGTGTCTATTGGGTCTCCCCGTTAATGGATTTGCATTTCTTGGGTTGAGACGCACCGTAGAGGAGAGAGACCATGATTTTTTGCATGCTCTGAATTGTACACTTCTTGATGACAACGATCATACAAACCTGAGGCGCCTTTGGAAGAAGGTATGGTGTTTGCTAATTTACATGCTTTACAAGATGCAATCACCAAACACTCAATTGCGCAACATCGATTTTGGATAACGGAGTACAAGAAAAGAGCTTCATGGGCTTTTCGATGTTGGTACCATGCCAAACAACCACGTTGTTTTTGGCGTGCTCAGTCTCAACAACTATCCTCTGGAGCGTGGCGCTTGAAGCAATTCAATGATGTTCACAGTTGTCATCCGGATTATTCCCACGGAGGTAACGACTACAATATGGATTACATGTTTATTGGTCGATTTATCCTTGACAAAGTACGGGTTGACCCGGAGTACAAAGTGAAACTCATTCAACACGAATTACTTCAAGAATTCAACGTTGCATTTTCTTATAAAAAATGTTGGATGGGTCGAATCCATGCTTCAGA